TTTCACCCTTGCCCAGCCTTCCCTTCAACCCCTCCATTCCTCCCTATTTACAAAGATTTTGTTCCTATTTTTCCATAAGAAAAGCTTTTCTTTGTACTCAAACTTCAAACTGGCTGATATCTTAACTTTTTTTTTTTTTTTTTTTGGTTTTTGAGACAAGAGTCTCACTATGCAGTTCAGGCTGGCCTTGAACTCACTACGTAGCCCAGGCTAGTCTCAAACTCACAGTGATCCTCCTGCCTTAGCCTTCCAGAGTACTGGGATTACAGGCATGCACCGCCACACTTGGTGAGGGCTTTTTTGGGGGTTTTTTTTTGTTGTTGTTGTTGTTGTAAGACAGGGTCTCGCTGTGTAGTTCAGCCTGGCCTTGAACTCACTATGCAGCCCCGTATGACCTTGAACTCATGGCAACCCTCCTTCCTCAGCCTCCGGAGTGCTGGGATCACAGGCATGTGCTACCATGCCTAGCTTAACTTCCTAGTTTGGACTTATTGAGAAAACAAGAACAGTCCTTCCTAGTTCTTTTGTAAGATAACCTTCAGTTTCATTTGTCATGTTCTCCAGTAGATTCTTTTTTTTGTGGCACCGGGGATTGAACTCAGGACCTTGTGCTTGCGAGGCGGGCGGCAGCACCACTGAACTAAATCCCTGGGCCTCCAGTGGATTCTCTCTAGAGCAGTGGTGGTGAACCTATGGCACATGTGTTATTTGTTTTTCTTTTAAGAGAAAAGATGTGAATGTATCAGTTGTTTTTTCTAAACTAAAACCTCAGTATCCAGGTTTAATTGCAGTGTTGGCACTCTGATAAATAAATGGGTTGTGGGTTGCAGTTTGGGCACTCATCTCTGAAAGGTTCGCCATCACCGCTCTAGGGTAACCTTCCAAGTTTTCAGTTCTTTCTTCCTTAAGTAGTATAGGGCATTGGACATTTATCCTTTTTTAATTGGCCTTTTAAAACCTCCTGAGGTTGGCACTGTCTTAGCAAGCTTTGGAGGGATGTATTGTATTTGGTCTGTGTTGTGGATCCAGGCATCTGTTTGTAATAAGCAATATATAACTCGGATGCCCAGAACCAACTGTGTACATACTAGAGGGTAAAGACCAAACTTCTTTATTATAAGATAAAGTCCAAATCTTTGATTTTTGCTGTTGCGTGCCAACCTCTTATAAATTGTAGCGTCTGAAGATAAAGCCTTTAAATTTTGCCTCATCATTTTGCCCTGTTTTTAGTGAAATGCTTGCAACTCTGTGCCCCTGCACTTCCTCTTCCTTTGGCCTCCCATATAATTTTCCCCATCTTTTCTGTCTGGGGAAAAGACTCATCCCACAGGTCTCAAACTGGAAACTTCTAGTAACTTCTGCAGAGGAGTTATCAGTGTAGGGTCAGACTTGCCAGCTGATCCCATGTTTGGGTAATATCTCTGCCCAGATGCTCTTGCAGCACTTGAGTGACACTGTACTGCAGCCCTACAGGATGTTGAAATGTACTTTTGTGAGTAACTATTTGTCCATCTACACTATTTACTTCCATATCTGCAAGTAGAGAGACCACATCACTTACATTCTTTGCCTATACATGATACACCTATTATTGTAGCTGAAGACGCATTAGGGATTTCTTGGCTTATGGAGAGAGCCCCAAAGGATAATCCCACGGCCTTAGCTTGACCTGTTACCCTGATGGGTGTGTTCTGTAGTCCCAGGCTGTAAGCATCCGCCTTGGCACAGCCAGATCAAAGGCTTTGATCCCATTGGAGCAGTTCTGTTTCCCTTCTCCACCTGTTTATCCTTACCTTGACCTCAGAAGTTTGGCTTTGTAAAACAGGCTAGTAGGGAAGACTTCATGGGCACCTTCACTGGCCCAGTGTATACCATGGAGGAGTTTAAAGGAAGTATGTGGTTGAGCAAGCCTCCCAGCAGTTTGCTTATAAATACGAAGAGCAGAGAGGATATCACAAGGATGTCACTGATGCCTAGTTTGAAATTGACTGTATCATGCCGGCTGCTTTTAGTTAGTGAAATTAGTTTGTTTAAAAACCAAACAGAAAAAGACATGAAAGCATATTTTTCATTAGGTTGGGTTCAATACAAGGAGAGTCGCCTGTGCCAAAGCCACGAATCGATCGCCCAAAAAAAGCTCGGGTGATACAAGAAGAGACGACAATGCCGGCTCAGGTTGGTTTTTTGAAATGTTGCTTTTTAATCCACCTAAAGTTAAAATAGTCATTATATGATGTACATGCAATTGGCTATCCTTTGTAAGTTTTAGGGTCTGGAGTCGGGTTCTGTCATTTAAATAATAATTTTAAATCTAACATTTTATTGGGGTGGCCACTTTGTTTTAACTCATTTCTATCGTTTTGAAAGGTTCCCCTAAAGTAGGGCTCCTCAACCTCAGCACTATCAACATTTAGGGCTGGATAATTCTTTGTTGTGCGGAACTGGCCTGGTGGGCATGTAGGATGTTTAGCAGCCTAGCATCCCTGGCCTCTCTACTAGATGCCGAGAACAAATGCCCCTCCCCACACCCCAGTTGTGACAACCAAAAATATCTCGATAGTGGCAAAGGACCCCTAGGGACAAAATGACTTTCAGTGGCAGACCGGTGTTCTAAATTACCCTTTTTGTATTTCATGTTCAACCTGAAAGTGGTTGATTTGGTAATGTTACTCTTTACTTTTAATATAAAAACTACTGAAACTAGAAAAATTTTTTTAAACTATAAACATGAAAATGGGATAAAAGTTGCAAGCAACTCTGAAGAGTTTAGGTGTGCAAAAGAGAAGAAAAAATTGTTAACTGGCAAATGAGAAAGTCAGTCAGTTTGATAATTTTTTTTTCAGTTAAAAAGCATGGGAGAATCTCATCAAGAAGCAACAGAAAAAGAAGTAGAAAGAATCTTGGGATTATTGCAGACGTATTTTCGAGAAGATCGTAAGTAGGACATCAAATTAAATATGGAACAATTGTTCTTTATCAGATGTGTCACTTTCAAAGAGGTTTTTATTTAAAAGGCATTTTCATTTGTATATAGTGTTTGAATCATTTTGATTCTTACCATGTATATTTAGTTCTCATGATTTTTGTGTGTGTGTGTGTGTATGCTGTGGATTGCACACAGGGCCTCGTGCATGCTAGCCAAGAGCTCTACCACTGAGCTACAGCCCTAGCCCTTGTCATATGTATTTAATGAGGCTTCTTTCCTCTTTGAGCATCTCTTGAGAACGTTGGAGAAGTAATATCATTTTTTATCTCTAAATGTAGGGTATGTTTTACTCAAGTATGGTGGAACATGTCTGTAATCCCAACATTTGGAAGAGTAAGGCAGGAGGATCATGAGTTCAGGGTTAGCTTGGACACCTTAGCAAGACCCCATCTCAAAAAACAAACAAGAGGCCGGGGATTTAGCTCAGTGGTTTCACTGCCTACCGCGCAAGTGCAAGGACCTGAGTTCGATCCCCGATACCGCCCCCCAAAAAACAAAAGATTGGATATTTCTTTTCTGTTACAAAGTAAATGTACCATAAAAGTGAGAAGAGTAAAGAATCAATTACTTGTCTTGTCTCTTCTCATGTCCAAGAGGTAGGCACTTGTAAAACAAGGTGTCTTTTCACATTTTTTGTTTGTGTTAGTCACAAACATGCATTTCCTGTTTTTGTTTGTTTTTTGTCTTTTTCAAAACTAAAGATATACACATTCTTCTGTGGTGACTTTTCCGTGATTCCCACTGTATGGCTGTCTCATATACATATTTAAGAGGTTTCTGTTAATGGATAAGTTCTTGATTGCATTTTTCTCCTGTAATAAATTGTTGAAGTGGAAAATCTTGTAACTTTGTGCACTTGTGCTAATGTTTCATGAGGATGGCTTTTTACAGGGTGCCCAGGCAGTGGGTATGTGTGTTTAATAGGTAGGATAGGCCAAACTGACCTGCAGAAGGCTTGGGTGGATTTGCTCTTCCACAGCAGGAGGAGTGCTTGTTCTTTTTTGTCTCGGGCTAACGCTAAGGAATATAGGTCTTATTTATAAGCAAAAGCAATTTTCACTCTTTTGAAGAATTTTCTCTTTTTTCTATAGCTGATACTCCAATATCCTTTTTTGACTTTGTGATTGATCCACATTCTTTCTCCCGTACGGTGGAAAACATGTTTCATGTCTCCTTCATTATACGGGTAAGATTTAAGATTTCTGTAATTGCTTTTTTATGCTTTTTAAAGGATACATAAGATCTATAGATGGGAACTGGTAAAGATATCTGCACTAAACAGTATGTAGTGTAGACTCATTGTAGCAAAACATTAATTGGCATATTAGGTAGAGACTAGCTAAAATTTTGTGTGCTTGCTTTTACATTTTAAAAATTACAGATTGAGTGTACTTAATGTGAAAATCAAAATCTGAAGTGCTTCAAATTTGAAACTTTCTCAGTGCTGACATGATACCACAGGTGGAAAATTCCACAACTAACCACACGTGATGGGTCACAGTTAAGAAACAGATGCATTAAATACTGTATAAAAATTACCTTTGAGTTTTGTGTGTGAGGTGCATATGAAACATTAGTGAATTTCATGTTAAGGCATGGGTCCCATCCCCAACATAGCTCATTTACATATGCAAATATATCAAAATCCAAAAAATTCTGAAACCTGAAACACTGGGCCCAATCATTTTGGATAAGGGATACTCAACCTGTGTTTAAAAGAATAATTAGCAAAATTTGTATGTTTAACTATAGATTAAGTAACAGTAAATTTTTAAAAGTTTGATAACTATCCTACTCTATGAGAGATAACTTATTCTCAGGAAATAGACACTGAAAAATTAGGGAATGGGGGTAGGATGTCTATCATTTTCACATCATTCATGTATAATAATAATGGCAAGAAAAAGCAGATGTGGCAAAGCTTTAACAATTAGTAAATATGGGTAAGGATATGTGGGAGGTCTTTACAATATTTTTGTAGCTCTTTTTATGCCTGAAGTTTTTCAAAGTCAATTTTAGTTTAATTATTTTTTTATGGTACTGAGGATCGAACTCAGGACCTTGCACTTGCAAGGCAGGTGCAGTGCCACTGAGCTAAATCCCTGGCCCTTCAAAGTTGATTTTTAAAAACCCTATACAGAAAGGTACTTATACATTCCTAAATTTGATTTCAACCTTAGATAAAAGGTTGTATGACCAAAGTATGTTCTCAGAAATACCTTGTAGCAGTATTTTACCAGTGGTCCCAATGATAGAATTATGCATAGTAAAAAGTGAAATATATATAACAAGATATGCATAAATCAGTGAAAGAGACAAGACAATTTTTCTTGAGAGTCTCAGGTTTAAATATTAAACATATTTAAGATAAATAAGTTAAATGTGAGAGTCTGGTAAAAGCTGATTAGAAACCTGAGTGGTACTTGATGTTGGAGAAGTCTTGTCCACTTCATGTCAGTATTGTTAGGATATGTTATGATTGAAAGAGATACACATTGTTTAATGAATTTTTTTTTATTCAGTAGTTAGAAGTTTGAGTAAGTTTTGGTTTTTCTCCTAAAAACCTTATTTTTGTTTTAGGATGGTTTTGCAAGAATAAGACTTGATCAAGACCGATTGCCAGTAATAGGTAAATGATGTTTGGAAAAACTAGTTTTAAAGAAAATATATTTAGTATTAAAGTTTATGAACATGAGAGGGTTTCTAATGTTTGGAACATGTTGTTTTGGGGTTTTTTTTGGTACCGGGGATTGAACTTGGGTCCTTGCGCTTGCGAGGCAGGCGGTGAAACCACTGAGCTAAATCCCCAGTCCTGGAGCATGTTTTTTTAAATGGGAAGGAATGGGATTAGGTGCTACTGTATCACACTACAGCAACTTCTGTATGAAAGCCTAATAAGCATGTAATATGTATCTTCTCAGTATAGGTTTTATTCCTGTTATTTGTCAGTCACTGTTCAGGTTACCTATTCTGATTTGACCACCTTTGAAAACTTTATCTTTCAAATAGAGCCTGCTAATGAAGAAACTGAGGGAATTGACCATAACACCCAAGTTAGGAATCAAGCAGTTATATCTTTGAGTTATCGTGACTGGGAGGTAAAGCTCTGCATGTTTTCCCTGCATGGTTCTGACTGCATTTGCTTAACTAAACCCAGCACTCAAACATTGTTCTTTCTTCCCTGCCAGGAGATTGTGAAGACCTTTGAGATTTCTGAGCCTTTGATTCCTCCAGCTCAGAGCAGGCAGAGGCTGAGTGCTTGATGCCAGCTGAAGGTAACATTTTCTATGGGACAGCTGCACAGTTTTATTACAATTTGACAATCCAAAACGTCGTATTTTTCCCAGCCGGTAAAATACTGGGTTTTGCCTCCCCCTAGTGTCCTTCTGGTAGAACTGTGTGTAACTTGTGGGAGAAAGAGAGGGGTTGGGCGTGGTGATCCCAAGTCCCTTCTCTGCTTTGGTTACTCTGGTGTTCTTAAGATTTGCAGCTGAAGAGCTTGTAGTTTGCCCCCCAACACACATATGGCTAAATTAGATACATAAAATATTGAAATCCCTCAGTGTTGTTCTCTGTCCCATTAGATTTGCTTGTTTTGTAAGTGCAAAGTAGCAAAAAAGGAAGAAGACTGAATTACCTGAGGATGATTTTAGTAAATGGGCATTTCTGAGACCTGAATTATGCCATGAAGTAATCTTTCATTTTTATGAAAGGGAGCATTTCTAGGAAGAAATCTTAGAAACAACCAGACTTTGTGTACTGCAGACAGCTGTGGGTAGGGATGATGTTGGTCCTGCCCCTTATGTAACCCTTTGGGCAGGTCACTTCATTTCACTCAGCTTCCTGTTCCTTATAAATCCATCCCTATAAGGTGGCACTTTTCAACTAGATAATTACTACTTCCTTTTTCTAGTCCTCATTTTCTTATGATTTTCAGAATTTAACTGAGCTTTTTTTTAGTAATTAATATAAACTCTTAATATATGCTTCAGTTAATTGAACTTCTTTTGTTCCAAGATAACTTGTTTCTGTCAAAATATTTTGAGGGCGAGAGAATAGACATAAAATATACCATGTGGATTAAATTGGGCCCTATTCACTGAGGAGAGGTAGTTGTTAGATTTTTTTTAATCCATATTATATGACCTTTTGATTTGCCGTTTATAAACTGCTAACCACCTCTTTTTCTCCTCTTTTTAGGACTCAGTTGGATAGTGAAATCCAAAAAGGAAAGCAGCGTGTATTGTATATAGTGTATGATTAGACATTTTTAAAGACAGGTTGTTTTTAGTAAAATGTAGCTTTTAATAGTTAATAAAATTTGTCATGGTTGTCTTTGAGTAAAAGAAATTTACTGTAATATTCACAAGTAATTGTACTTTTATTTTATTCTATTTTCTTGTCATGAGAGAATTTCTCCTTTTTCCAAAGCTGTCCCATTGAGAAGTTTTACTTAGATCGTTAATGCCCTATGGATCATTATAATTCTTTTTATGTGTCTTTAGCTGTAAAGTTAGCTGGCCAGGTCAACAAATAGGTTATACCATTTGAAATTGTTGTTGTTGTTGTTTCTGGTATCGGGGATCAAACTCGGGACCTTGTGCTTGTGAGGCAGGCAGCAGCACCACTGTGCTAAATCCCCTGCCCCAAAATTGTTGTTTTTGAAGGTTAAAATTGATCAAATATCAGTAGTTTCTTATGGTTCAGCCTGTGACTTACATGCAAGGAACTATTAAATCCTCTGGCAAGCTAGGCCGGACTACTTTCCTCAGCACGAGCCTGGATCCATCCTGCTGCATGCTGCTTCATGCTTCTGATCTCTGCTGGGTTTTAAAGTCTGCCCTTGATGTTTTCTGAGGTTCTTTCTCTCATTCCTTAGCTTTCTTAATTTTATCCTTTCTCACTCCTCTCTGATATCTAGGGTAGCAGTGTCTTTTCTGTGGATTCTATCTCTTCTAGGAGACTGTTCTCTGTCATCCCCTGTAGCCATATCTGGTGTTTTTCCTTCAATCATGCTCACCTCCCATCTTAAAAAATAGTTAATTGTTGTTGGGTGTGGCAGTTCATGTGTCTAATCCCAGCACACTGGGAAGCCGAGGCAAGAGAATAAATAGTAAGTTGGAGCCCAGCCTGGGCAATTTACTGAGCAAGACCTCAGTCGAAAAAAATAAAAAAAATGGTGTTAGGGATGCAGCTTAAGGTGAACGGCCTTGGTTCAATCCCCAGGACCACCAAGAAAAAAAAAAAAAAAAAAAAGTTAAGACCTTCATCAAGCTATTATCCTACCTTCTCTCAAAGAATCACTTAAAGGCTCTTCTGTACATCTTCAGACCATGGCAAAGTGAGACCTCCTTTTCCACCAGTCTACTCAGTGAGTCTAGTATGTCGCTTTTACCGATTCCTTTCCAAACCAGCTCTAGTGAATAAATGCTGGGTATCTGACATGTGAAATGTCTGCTCTTTGCCTGATTTCTGCTCCACTGTCTTAGTTTCTTAATATATACACATATCCTGAACAGTCTCAAAACTGATACCTAAACTAATGAAAATACTAAATATATGTAACCAACTGTTTATTGGAAAGCACACAGGCTATTTTAAAGCATGTATAAAACTGCCCCCCACCCCAGTCTTCTTTTAATTCCTATACTGGCACTTTTACCACATTATTTCCTTTGCAACCCCTTACATCCCGTGCATTAATTCAGTCACTGGTTGATTCCTTTCTGGTTTCTCCAGTTTCTCCGCCTTGCCCAGGTTACTGTCACAGGCACCCACCTGGTGTTTCCTCCTCCCTTGCTTCCTGTCTGTCCTTCAGATCAGTTCCAAACCATTTGACATTTCCTTACTAGTTGCTCATTGTATTTTAAAAATCTGAACTTTTTGGTGAAATTCAAAGCCTTCAGGCCCCTTACCAACATTTCTTGGCTCATCCTTTTGTTTAAACTCCAGCATTTTTTCTTTTTGTTAAATGAGTTAATTGAAATATAATTCACATAACATACAATTCATTCACTTAAAAAGTACAATTTAGGGCCAGGGAAGGTCAGTGGTTTCGCCGCCTGCTAAGCAAGTGCAAGGACCCGAGTTCGATCCCAGTTACCAAAAAAAAAAAAAAAAAAAAAAAAAAAAAAAGGTACAATTTAGTGTTTTAAAAATCAATTTATGGAGTGTGTAGCTGTCACCACAATCTATTTTAGAACATTTTTGTTGCCCTCTGTTCATCAATTGTCACTCCCCTTTCCTCATCTAACTTTCTTCCCCCTTAGCACTAACCTGTGACAAACCTACTTTCTGTCTACAGATTTGCCTATTCTGGAAATTTCACATAAATGAAATCCCACAACCTGGGGTTTTAACACTATACTTAGTCTCAAGTATACATGTCTAGAGTTGCTTTCTCTCCCTTTTGTCTAATTTCTACAATTTTATTGTACTAATTACTATAAAATATGCTAATCTAAAAAAGAAATGCAAAAATAAAATAACTTAAAACTTTATATTGTTCTAATTTACTTCTCAAGAATGGTGGTATAGGGCCGGGGATTTAGCTCAGTGGTTCCATTGCCTGCCTCGCAAGCTAAGGACCCGAGTTCAATCCCCGGTACCCCCCCCCAAAAAACAACAAAAAAACCCAAGAATGGTGGTATACTTAGGAGCTCCTTTTGGAGTGGTTTTTGAATTTTAACTTCTTGTGATTTTTCTACCAGGATAGTCACTTCTGTAAGTGCTTTCTGGTAAGGCTAAAAGATAGGATAAGCTGTGACACTTTCAAACTTTGTCACCTTCTTCTCCATTTGAGATTTTAAGCGAGAAGGAACGTAGCTAGAGAGTTTCCATGCAGCTCTTTGATTATTTCTTTGCTCTGTAAGTTTTCTCCCTCGAATCATTCTATCTTGATGTCCCTTCATCTGTTCCTGAACCCATGCCACCTTGTGCTTTTTGGTTTCAGTTTTGTGTGTTTTCTGGATAGTTCCATTCTTTTCATCCTCCGATGGTAATGTTTTGGGGGAAAGTATTTTACTTGGAATTCATTGCAGGAGTAGTTGATATTTGTGGTCTCTGAGGCCTCTAGCTCTTTCAGCTCGGTGTATGTGTTTCTCTATATGATTCAGTTCCCTCTCAGACACTAGATATTCCCATTTGTTAGCATCTTGTGATTTTTCTTTTTGTGATCTCCTCTTCCTCTATTTTAATTTCCCATTCTGGAATTGTTTTGTAGTTCTGGTCTCCTTCCATCATGATTTTTTGATGTCGTTGATGGCAGTATGCCTCTGCTTTAGCAAACCAGAAGTCAAAAGACATGGCCTTAAATTTATCAAGTGTTTCATTCTCCTTTTGAAACTCTTGAGCTAATAGTTTTCTTACTTCTGAAGAGTGGATGCCACCTAAACTCTCATCAAACGGAGTAATTAGAACTTTTAAAGTTGGATATCCTGTGTTTTAGTTCCATTGTACAGATCTCAAAGGAGCTATTAGCCCTGCCTGGTACTCCTACACTCTGCCCCAATGAGAGTCTCTTAACCAAGTACTGTAGTGATGTCTTCCTCTTCACTGCCCCCACCCGCAGTGTTCCCTCTTAGGTGAGGACTTTGCCTTAGACATCCTTGAGAAAACAGGAGCACCCTCCTCTTCCCACTGTCAGACTGGCCTTCTGACTTTGCAGTAGAAACATTACCCTGTGCTTATCAAAAGCCAGTTCTTCCACCTGTGCTTGTTAAGCTTCAGGAATTCCAGTTTTGCAGTTAATCAAATTCCCTTTGCTGCATCCTAAAACCTCCACTCTAATGAATCACTCCTATCAGCATGAAAATATCAGTATGTAAAATTCTTCCTTTAGTTCCTCTGGGGCCTTTACCGTTCTTTTCACTCCCTGCTTCACAGTGTACTTTGAAGTAGTTATCTATAACCCCTCTAACTGTCCTTCTTCCATTTTCTCAGTCTACTTCCATTTGGGTTCCACTGCCCACTACTTCTGTGAGACTGCTCTTATCTAGGGCATGAGTGGTTTCCAATAGAAAGTTCGGTGGTCCTATTGCTATTCCTGTCTGTGAGACCTCAGCAGCATTTAAAAGAGGTGACCACTCTCCTTTTCAAAACTTTTCTGACTTTTTTTTAGCTACTCCTAAGGGTATGTGACTAAGGTTATCTTGGACCACTCGGACTATCCCAGCCATTTGCTGAGTATCCTCACATGACAATATCCTGATTCTTTTCCTCTTAGCCACTTTTTCTCATGTGCCTTGCTGGGCTGTCTTTTAAACATAATGCAGGAAAATATAGTGGAGAACATAGTCACTCGAGATAGAACATGGTCACAATTAGGCTTCCTTGGATAAGGTGACCTACCATGTGTCAGGCACTGCTCTAGAGCGGGAATAGGAATGAAGGAGACAGAAGAGCTACAAGGGCACTACCCTGCCCACTGCTCTCAACTTTGGATCTAACCCTTGTGTACGTAACATCTTCACTTATTTCTTCCTCCACTTCCCACCTCCTTCATCCCATCACTTCTAACAAAATATTGCACCCATCCATGTTCCACTTCAGCCCTGCTGCCCCAGCCTAGCTGTCAGCACAATTCTCTGAATCCACATTTCTCTCCCTCTGCCCCCACATGCACTAGACCAATCAGTGCAGCCAGAGTGTTCTTTTTATTACACACATCTAAGCATGTCACTTTCCTACATAGAACCCTGGGATAGGATCCTATTACTTTTAGGAGAAAATCCTAGATTCCAGTTTGGCATCTGTAGCCAATTACCTAATTACCTTTCCAACAACTTTCTCAGTTCACTATTTGCTTGCTCTGCTCCAGCTGCACTGACATCTGTTTCTCAAAATGGTATTCTCTTTCCCATATGAGTATTTTCATATGCTGTTCCTTCATCTGCTCCTGGATGTGTCACTAACACTATGGTACTCATGTTTATAATTTTTAGATTTCCTCTTACGTGACATTTCTTTAGATGTTCTACATGCTTTTCAGACAAAAACCCAATTCTTTTATGACACCACAATTTGTGGTATTTGTTTAATGCCCCTCACAGGATTAAGTTCTTAGGAGGGCATAATGTGGTATTTATTTTATTCAGGGTTGTCCAGCCACCATTACAGGTGCTTTGAGAATCAAATAGCAAACTAAACAGGCAATACATTTTGGCTTGAAACACTTGGGGCATTTTAACGTCTGATAAACTTTCTATGACCTTATTAATGAATCTGAAACTCATGGAAAATGTATCTTCTCACCCTAATTTTCTTTTCTAGTGGGGAATGGGGACCTACTGCAATCCGACGGTCTTGAGTATTTCTAGCCCAGGCCATTCTAGAAGATCAAAAAGAGAAATTAATGCCAGGATTTGGAGAAAGACATCGGGAAACATGTTACAGAATGAACTGTGCTAGGTGGTTGACTCAGGACCCACTTTCCACATGCGGTGCAAGGCATTTCTCTGGGCCAACAAGATAGGACTCTATTTTCTGTCTTTCCCTGAAGCAGGGAAGGAATGTAGTCTGATGAAAGTATGAACTTTGAGGTTGTAACTATAGGAAATACCTTTAATACTGGTAAGGAGAGAATGAATTGTTGTTTCAAATACCACAGACCGCTGCTTTTGAATGTTGTTAGTGAAAGAACTCAGTTCTGGTGAGAAAAGTTTTCAAAGTTCACTTTAAGTTCAGTTATGTGTAAATTATTAGTAAATTTTCTGACAGCTATTTAATTATAACATGTTCCATGATTCTTGTCAAAGCTTATATTTTAAATAAAAGATGAAATAATTAGTAAGTTTTTTGAAAATTTAATGTAGATAAATAGAGCGAGGATTTGTCCCTTATGATTGACCAGAGTTACATATTTGGCGTCCTAGAGATATCTTTATTTCTTAACATGATTAGTAAGCAAATAGTTCTGTGTTTAACAACCTGGGTTATAAATACTGTTTTCTCTGGCTTCTCTTAGCAACCAAAGAGGAGGATTTTGTAACACAGAACTGGAAAAAACCAACAGCTATTTGTCTTTTTAAGAAAAGCTGAGTTCTTAAAAAGAATCATATATCTGATTTCATGTATCTCTTTTCTGAATTTCTTATTATTTCTATAGCAACAGTTTTTTGACATTACAATAGAGTATCACTGTGCTATAAGCTTAAAGTGGATTATTTTAATATTTCAAACAACTTTAGGAAGTATGTACTCCTTATCTCTTATTTCATGGCAAAGAGAATGGAGGCCATGGGGAGGTCAGCAGTTTGTTAGCCCAGCGTTGGTTTC